GGTCGACCTAAGAATCTCTTCTTCATGCACTTTCATACAAAATGAAAGTTCCCCTAACAATGTTATCTCAGGAGGTTAATTGAAACCCAGTTTCTCTTCATATTTCTAATTGGTACTTCGTTTTATACTTTGATCGATAACTGGGAATGCATTAAGTTAATTACGTTCTTTGAAGTCTTCCTTAAAACGAGGCCAAACCAATTATATAAAGCCATTGTACATAGAAGGAAATTCAGGCTCTACTGATCCTGAATGTACAAGGATATATGTCTTGACTTGGCTAGAAAAATTCCACAGAAAGTCCGCCTCAGAATATCAGGTCTATCCAAAGTCGGAATTGGCAAACAGGGCTGACAAGTATATAGAATTTTCTAATAAGCGTGAATCCTTTTGTGCTAAAATTTTAATTTAACACAATCTAGGCGCTTGTAGGTTAGAATCAAAACGACTTCCAATACAACTATAAAAATGGATTAAACGAAGCGGACTGTAAGCTTTACCTATCTGACTGTAAGATCAGGTTTAAGAACACCGACGCCCGATATTTACAAGAAAATTCGTTTTATTGCCCAAATACTCTAGAACTTCCAATACTTAGACCAGCCGAAAATGTATAAAACATAGAGCAGAAATAAATCTTGTCTTGATACAGTGGTTAAACGTAGTTTTTGCTAAAATGAGTTATTTGCGATCCTATCCATCTTCTAAAGTGTAGTCGCTTCTTTCATTCTGCCCAGGCAAATGAGTAAAGATGTTGACTTGCGAGCTAGAATGACAATTCTAATCGATCTATCCGTCGATAGGATAAATTTACATTTATAGGCGAAACTTTTGTACACGAGTAGGTAGCTAATGCGAAATTATCCTCTTTCACATTGTCCCTTCTATCTCAGCTCTTGCCTACGTAAGAGTGGCTGTATACCAGGCTTGATCTTTGTTCATCTACTTCTGATCTAATGATAGAACTATATTGCTCCGCTTACTAAAGCATGATATTGGAGGTACGATTTTAAGAGTTGTGCTGGGTATTGGGGCAGAGTAAATAATGAAGTGGACCGATAGCCAAGATAGCCACCCACCTGAACATAGCCAACTTTTGGCATAACTTGAAGATGATCCTTCAGGGGAAACGGAGTATCGACTTGCACCTTCACTGCACTATTAGATCTATTTTGGATGACAATGATGTCCTGGTATAATCGGTCGTACCAACAGATACCCATGTCGATCTCGTTATTCTGAACCCAAACAGAAAGATTCTGTTTGCGGCCTACTGCCTGAATCCGGATTGGTGGGTGCGCTTCTGTAGTCGCTTCAGTGTCTGAATCTGATGAGTTAATAAACATGAGCTCAAAATAAGCAGTCTCCTCGGGCGACTCAATTACGTCCAGTTCTGGCATACAAATTGGCTTCCAGGTTAGACTGAGTTTCTTGGCTTCGTGCGGCCCTATTCTGCACGCCTCGGCTGGAGAACAAGTGAAGGTTGAGGCCACTTCTAAAAACAAGTTCGTTATTATTACATTTAAATCTGACGAAAAAAC